GCCAAAGCCAGGGCGACGACATGATCTTAAACGCGCGCAGTCATGAAAGGTCGGCCCGTTGGGCGCACTGCCGACCCAAAACTAAAAAAGAACAGACGGCGGGCGGGCGGCCGACCCAAACGGACAAAAAGCAGACAAAAATGCCGTCCGTTTGGGTCGGCCTGTTGAAGTTGCTCTTAGGTGGTTCAGGTTTGGATGGCCCTCGTCTTCCCACACCCCACTCCATCGACCTCATTTGAGATGTTCGCACTCTAGACGACCTTGACAACAACATCTAGAACTCGCTCGCTATTTCCATCTTATGAACAATTTGGGACTCGTGAAACTCCCGTGTCTTCCCCAAAAGATCGATACCACCGCCACAACCCTTAGAGCAGGTACAATAAGATAACGTAGGCGGGCTGTAAGATTTTAAATAATATATTTTTACTTAGTTGCCAGAAAGAGAAGAGATGCATGCTACAAACTAACAGCCGGCTCCAATACATGCTTCTAGAGACTTTGTGAAAGAGGAAGATAGACCATGTATCAACAAAGCAGTACTTATTTACATTTAACTATTGTACCTGCCGGATGTAAACTTGACTATAGATGACATGGCAACATTATATAGCCAGCAACTGGCTTTACTTACTCTCTGGATTTGTAGAATTGAGAATGCCTCTAAAAAGGATGCAAGCATGGCATGACGACTGTGCCTCTCCTCTCGCGCTAGGGCAAATCTGAAGGCGTTGTGGCAAAGAACACACACCGTTTTGTTTCTGCAAATCAAAGAACACACAACTCGCAAACAAAACAGTTGTATTGATGATTTGTTTTTGTATTGTTACAAAATAAGATCGTGAGCACACAAAAATGAAGTTGGAGAGCCACCAACCAAAAATGAAGTTAACACCACCATCACCGTTTTCATCGCCAAGACATGCCAATCACCGTAAAAATGAGAAATAGACTTAATCATTCAATTCTGTTTGAGGTTTAACATCACGTCAAATTCCCAAAAATATGCGCTTTCCGCGAGCATAAAATGTTAGTATGTCAAAATTTCATGGTGAATTTCCAGATTCAAATATTTTGGGCAGCTTATAAAAATTTGGTGAAATGTGTCTACAATGTTCAACTTTATTTTTAAATATTTGTTCATTTGGGTGAGCACCAAAATATTTATGCCTTCACAAATTTAAACTCTACTCTTGTACATCTTTTTGTTCCTTTTCTTTTGCCAATTCTGCGAGCCGGACGATGGTGAGGTGGTAAGTAGGCATTGCAAAGAAGAACAATTTGAAACTGATGAGACAACCCAACTCATTTCATTCCTTCTGCTAGGTACATTTCATCTCTTTTAGACACCTTCATTAAACAACAAAGATTCTGAGACACGATGATATTCATATTCCCCGTTGTTTATGGTAGGGATCAACAACTTTGCTTCCAAAATATCAATATGTGCCATAAGAAATATATCTACATTTGTTAATCTAATCATGCCAAAGTTGTTGAAGATTCATGGAATGTGCGGCAGCTAAGCGCCCGAGACTACGGGCTGGCTAGCATGTTCCCTCTCCACCAAACAGCTCAGCGATGTAACGTATCCTCTTAAAATATACAAGAAGAACATGAAGTGAGGTAGGAGCAACAACTACCAAACGCGGAGTTAACCAAAGGCAAGCAAAATCAGCCAACGTATACTTCACAGAATAGTTACACAGGAATGTACTCACTCCCTGATACCACTACCAATGTCAAAAAGCGTCTTATATTTTGATATGAATGAAGTAATATTAATGTCAACCTCGTTTTCAGGTTAATTTTTTTATTACGGGCGTTTGGACACGTCCGCGGGCGTTTGAGGGATCGGATTTGCCAAGTCTGACTATAAATACTCTAAAAGTCTTTGCGAGCCTCACACGGCAGAGTTGAAAAAACGAGGTTGATACGAAAAGACAGTCACATCAACTTTAACCTGAAAGAACACCCATAGTAAAAACAATTAACCTAAAAATGAGGTTGACATTCATATTACGCGTCCGCGAATAGTGACTGGTCACCCTTCAAAAAACGCATTCCACATCCGGATACCTCAAATTCATATTATTACACGCAACGTGAAACCTAATCTATGCGGAGCTCGGCCGGTTCCGCTCCCCGCTCGCCCAGCTCCGCCCTGGCCATGTTCGGCGGCCGACTACGCTCCTCAGAGTGTTGGGCCGGTCGCCGGCACGGTAGGTAGGGCATGGGACACGAGCTTGCTCACGGGACTCAAGGCCCCGCCGTCTTCCATGCCCTACTCTTCCTCATCGGAGACCGGAACCCGAAAGGTGCCGGTCAAATTGATGATGGATTTGTCCGGGGACGAGCTGCCGACATCCACCACGATGCGGTTACGGCTCCCGGACTGATGCACCATACGGGGCGCCGGAGAATGCGACTCCGCTTCGCCGACGTCTGCCGTCGCGAGGGCTGCCGCCGCCTCCCGCGCTCGGTGCCTTGCACGGCGTGCACGCCGTGCCATGGCCTCGTGCGACGATGGTGCGTTCCTAATATCGGCGCGCCACCGGAGGGGTTGTGCGTCCGCCAGCGCGTTTGGACGCCAGGCGGACCGCACGGCCTCCCGCGAGCCAGCTACGGCCGGCCTTGCGCCGGATCCATGCCTCGTTTGGGCTGACGCAATGGATTCCCGACAGATGGAGTCCGAGCGCAGCCGTCCACGGGCCTCCTCCCGGGCGCGGTAGAGCGCAAACCGTACGGCTATCTCCTTCTCGGGGCCGCGCGGGATGAGCTCGGAGTCGACGGAACTGGAGGTGAAGGACTCGGATCCGCTACCCGCCATGCCGGAGACGAGCTTGGGTGGCGGATGGGGAGTGAAGGGAGTGGAGTGAAGTGGCTAGGGTTTGATCCTGCGAGCGGATGGGGAGGATTTTATGTGGGGTCGAATGGGCCAGCGTGGGCCGAGGCCGACGTGACGGGCGTGCCCGGGCGCGTCCGGACG